TTCAAATATTCTGTTCCTTCTTCTGGTATTCTCATTACTGATATGGTGCACCTTTGATAATTGTCCCACAGTTCATGGCTATTCTGTTCCTTTTTTTAAATCTTTTTTTCTATTTGCTTTTCAGTTTTGAAAGTTTCTACTGATATACTTTCAAGTGCACTGATTCTTTTCTCAGCCGTGTCCAGTCTACTGATGAGCCCATCAGAGACATTCTTCATTTCTGTTAGTTTCTTTTTTAATTGCTAGTATTTTCTTTTGATGCTTTCTTAGAGTTTCAATCTCTCCACTTACAGTACACATCTGTTCTTGCATATTGTCCACTTTTTCCATTAGAACCCTGTGGTTCCTTTATGTGGCCTTTTGCTTTGGTTCTTTGGAAAAATGCCTTGAGGGATTTTTTTCCCCCTAAGACTTGAGGATGATTGACATTTCCTGGGTAAGCTGTAAATAACTTGCAGCTTGATACTTTTTGTCTGGTCTTGGGCTATAGAGTGCCCTGTGATTGGTATGTACCTTGTAGGGATTGGTCAATAGGCTATGCAAATGAAGTGTCTGTGGTCTACCAAGAGGCAATTGGTTTGTTTGTGGCCCCCTGCTGGGTGGAGTCATGCCTTGAAATTGACAAGGAGTCAGCCAACCCCACAGAAGTTTTTCAGACAGAAGAAAGTAGAAAGAGAAGCAGAAGGAAGAAAGAAGAGAGAAGCAGATAGAGAAAGGAGGCAAGTAACTTCCTACAAGAGCTGTAACACAGTCAAGGGCTGTTAACACCAAAGACAGCGACAGACCCATAAGCGGCCCAGTGGCAGAGCCAGCAGTGACACGCTAGGAAAGGGCCCTGTGGCAGAGTTGGTGGTGACAGAAGGCAGAGCCAAGAGGAGCCTGTTCTGAGGGGCTTGAGAGGAGACCTGTCCTCAGGGGGCCGAGAAGAGCTCTGCACAGCTGAGAGGAGGGCCTGTTTGCTTGCAGGGCTGAGAGAAGCTGAGAGAACTGTCCTGCACTGAAGAAGGGAGACTTTGCCTACATGATTCCTGATCTTGATCCTGAGTTGTATCCTGTTGCTTCCTTAATAAACCACTTAACTGTAAGTATGGTCTGTGAGTTCTGTATGACCATTGCAATGGTTATTGAACCCAGAAGAGAAGTCGGGATGGCTGGTGTTAGAATTGGTAAAATGGTTAGAGAGTGGAGGTATATCCGACCTCTACCTCACAGGGATCAGCCTTGAGTTGATCTTGATTCACATTATTACCCCTGAAGTTAAGATAGGTTCTGACACTGCTTCTACTACTCATCCTCCTCAAATTTTACAAACCCTTACTATATTAATCAGTTATTTTGTACTCATAATTCCAAAATCTCTGCCATATCTGAGTCTGGCTCTGATGCTTGCCCTGTTTCTTCAGAGCATATATATATATTTTTTTGCCATTTAGCATGTCTTGTAATTTTTTTGTTTCAAGTCAGATGTGGTGTATCCAGTAAAGAAACTGAGGTTCTTTCAGTTGCACCCCCCTGTAAAACCCTGCTGATGTTGACGTGCTGGTAAGGTGTTGGGGGAAGAGAAATATTTTATAATCCTATGGTAACATCTTAGTCTTTTGGGGAGTCATGTCTTCAATGGGCTCATCAGTAGACTGGACACAGCTAAGAAGAATCAGTGCACTTTAAGATATGTCAGTTCCCAAACTGAAATGCAAGGAGAAAAAAAAGATCGAAAAAAAGGAACGGGATATCCCTGGATTGTGACCTTCACATGTGCTCCTCAGTTTTTTTTTTCCCCAACCTATAGATGAAATAGGAGGGCTGGAGGGGGCTGGAATTGGGTATTCTTTCCCCCTTTATCCCTTCCCTCCAAGGCTAGAGGGGGTTGTAGTTGGTTATTTCCCTTCCCCCATGTAGAAGGCTAGAGGCGGCTGGATTTGGATATTTCCCTTCCTCCATGTCAGTTAACCAAAAAACAAACAAAAAAACAAAAACAAAACCCATTGCTGTCGAGTCGATTCTGACCCATAGCAACCCTATAGGACAGGGTACAACTGCTCCATAGGGTTTCCAAGGAGCAGCTGGTGCATTCAAACTGCCAACCTTTTGGTTAGCAGCAGAGCTCTTAACCACTGCACCACCTTTTTTGGTTAGGCTCTGGTAAAGTAGTTTCCCTTGAGCACTATTTCAAAAATGGTTACTTTTTCCCTCCCCCTGCCAGAAGCACAAAGGGGTTTTTTTCTAAGCTTCGCATTGAGAATCTAGTGAGGCTGCTGGAAGCAAAACTCAAAACAGTGTGCCCCCTCCAAGGCTGCACCTCTCTCAAGCTAGTCCACACTCAAGTCTCCAGCAATTAGACAATTACCCTTTAATTATTCCTACCTGATGCTGAGTCCAGTAGCAGTGCTTTCGGCTCCTGGTAAGTGGAATTTCTCTGTATTTACCTGTCTGTGTCCTGTTTTTTGGGGTGGCGGTTTGCCCTGTGACCTAAATTTTCTGGATCTAAGAAGAGCTATTGATTTTCAGTTTTTTGGCTTTTTTTCTTGTTGTGAGGACAGGAGTGAAAGCTTCTAAGCTTTTTACATGCCAGACTGGAAACTGGAAGTTGGCTCTATACTTTGTCCAGTCTCCTCTGTGTGTTATGCAGCTATTCCCTTTGAATTCTCTTACCGCTCCCCACCCCCACCCAACTGGTCCCTGAGTGAGCTGGCTATTCTCAGGCCTCCTTACTGCAGATCCATTCTTCATCCTGCTCTATGCTCCAGGAACAGTAGACCCCTATAGACTGCATTGCCCAGTCTCCATTGACAGCTCACATCCAGCCAGGTGGGTTTGGCCACTAGGAGACTCTGGTTAGAAGATCAAACGGCTGATGGGAAGAAGCCTGGGTACCTCCTGCCTCTCTGTTTCAGAGGTATCGTATGCCTCAGGCAACAGATGTGTCCCCCAGGCCCACTGCTTTTGCCACAGTTCCAGCTGTCACTGGGCTGACGTAACTTTTTCCTTTCTTTGTCCCTTTGTCCCTATGGATGGCAATGGCTTCCCACCATGGATAGTCCCTGGTGCCTCATCATCCTTTGCTCCCTTAATCCTGCCCATTATACTACATTTTTCCTTTATTGAACTGCTCATTCAAACCATCTGAATTGAATTCAGTTTCCTCCTGGGATCCTGACTGATCCATGGAGGAAATTCTATCCTAGCTTGGAGGGGAGCATAACAATGGACAATGGGCATATCAGGACTTGTGACCACTTTACTTCATTTTTTCTGGTGTCCTGGTGAGAGCAAGGGGGTGGACTGTTTGGAGGATGGTCTGCCACAGCCCCTGTGCCTCTCACTCAGGCTGCCTAATCAGAAGCCTTGGACCTGGAGCATTCCCTGATATGGAGGCTGGGAACTGAGACTCTCTCTCCCAGTTTCTTTTCCTTATTAGGGAGGCTCCCTTTCTGTTTTAGGTACACAGTAAACTTTTTCTCTCTGCTCTGCTCATGCATGTGCATCATATGGCACTTGGTCAACTCCATTTCTATATCTGTTTCCAGTGGGGAGAGAATGGGATCCTTCCACTAAACATGAGAGAGGCAAGTGCAGCCCACCAGCCCTGCATTGACTTTGAGGAGTGACCCACTGGACAAGGGGGATCAATGCCCACTATTGAAGCTGATCTTGCTCTCCTTATGTAAGTAAAGCATTGTTCCATCCAATGCCTGTGTGTAAGTCATGCTTTTATTGGTGACCCTGGATCTGGGCTTGACAGTTTGGCACAGCGACCAGGGTCGACAGATTTCTATTTCTCTATATCCTCTCTAATGCTTGTTATTTTCCAATTTTTTGGTAACAGGCATCCTAGTATGTGTGAAGTGCTATCTCATCATGGTTTTGACTTGCATTTCCCTAATGACTAACAATATTGAGCATCTTTTTATTTGTTGAAGAGACTATTCTTTCCCTATGTAATGGACTTGGCACTCTTTGGCCAAATCAATTGCCTGTAGATGCATGGGTTTATTTCTGGATTCTCAATTCTATTCCATTGGTCTGTAAGTCTATCCTTACACCAGTACCACACTGTTTTGGTCATTGTAGCTTGGAAGTATGTTTTGAAATCTGGAAGTATGAGTCCTCCTATTTGGTTCTTTTTTCAAAATTATTTTGGCTATTTGGGGACCCCTGCAATTCCCATATGAATTTGAGGATCACCTTTTCTATTTCTGCCAAGAAGGCTGTTGAAATTTTGATCATGATTGCATCAAATCTGTATATCATTTTGGGTAGTATTAACATCTTAACAATATTAAGTCTTCCAATTTATAAACATAGGATCTCTTTCCATTTATTTAGATCTTCTTTAATTTCTTTCAGCAGTATTTTGTAGTTTTTAGTGTACACGTCTGTCAACTTCATGTCCTCTTTGGTTAAATTTATTCCTAGGAATTTTCTTTTAGATGCTATTGTAAATGGGATTGTTTGCTTTCCTTTTCAGATTGCTGCTGGTGTATAGAAACACAACTACTTTGTGTGTGTTGATCTTTTTCTTACTCATCTCTTCACCGTATCTGCTCGTTTCTGAAGTCCCTCCCACCTGACATGCCCTTGGTGATACAGAATAAAGAGAAGGGAGAAGGTGCAGGAAAGATCCAAAGTCTTCCCAACTGTAACTAGAGTTATATATTTTATTTGAGTCTTATCTCTTTGGAGAAAGAGGGACAGAGATGGAAGGAGTAAGTTAGAGATGGTCTTGCAAATACCCCAGAAATCTGGGGTATGTGAAGAAGGAAAACCTTCACTAGAATATCTGTTGAAGGTGAAACAAAGTGAGCCTGGATCAGGAATTCAGAGATAATTCTTGGCACTTAGTATTGTGATCTGAAAGTGTGATCCCTGTGCTGAGCATGGAAAAAAGCAAGCAGATGGAGGAGTCACAAGGCAAGTACTGCTAATTCGTATCAACTCTAGGTCTCCTGACCAAGTAACCCCCGTTTGGGTGGGAGCATTTGCCAAGGGAATCCATCCCCTTAAATCCAGTCTTCCTCCCAGGGATCCTCAGTATCATTGCCCTTGGATGAGTGTAAATCCATATGTTGATGCCTCCTCTCCACTGACCAAGTCTGAGGCTGAGTCTGAGGCTGGGAACTGGGATACGGAGACCGGTGGTACTGTGGAGAATGAGTATGAACCCTTGGCCTGGATTTGGGCTGAGGCTCAGGCTCCATCTCTGTCTCCATCTCCAGCTCCAGATCCATCTCAGGCTCACCCTCCAGCTCAGATGCAGGCTCCAGCTCCGGATCCAGGCCTAGGTCCAAATCCAGCTCATTCTCTTGTTCTGACTCAAGCGTGGGCTCTAGCTCTGACTCTTCCACTGCTTCCTCTACTTCTGGCTCCAGGATTAAAGCCCTGAAGCCTGGACTTGTATTTTTCAGGATTTCCAGATTACTACTGTTCATACGATACTTTGGTTCTTCATTCTGAAATATACACAATTAGTCAGGTTAAAATTTCCAATTAAGTTTGACTTCTGAGCACAAAGAATTTCAGGGTTTAAAGTGCCAGAACTATGGATTCCTGGCAAAATAGAAAAAAATTTCTTGCCTAAATCTACTTTTCATCCTCTTTGTACCCTCTGGTTCCTCAGTTACTCACCATTCTTTAGTTCCATCAACCCCTAACTCCTGATTTCTCCGGCTTTTCTAACTAGCCTGGATCTCATGGGCAACCATGTAAACAGCAGCGATCTTGACAGCTTTCTGAAACCTCCTACCTTCTTGATCTTACTTGTCTTGCCAATCCCCAATGCCATCCTTGGCAGGGCATGTACGGGCCTTCATAATCTGGCCTCTTTCCATCTTTAGCTTTATCTCCAGCTGTGGTCCCCACCTTTTGGTCTAGCCATAAAGTTATCCAAAGATACCTGACTACTGCTTACCTTTGCCTGTCTTGTTTTCATCTCATGCACAAACACTTATCATCCCGGATCCAGAACAAAGATGACCAATTAGGATCACAGCTTTCTTTGTGTTCCAATTGTACCTCACTCACACTTCTATCATACTATCAGTAATATATTGCCTTATTTATTTCCAAACCTATCTCCCCTACTAGACCATAGCTCCTTGAGATAGGACAGTGCCTGGTTCTTGATATCCCTGGTACTAGGCACTAGTCTGTCACAAAGCAGGTGCCCCACAAGTGATCTTCGGAATCTGCCTTCTACAAAGTTAATTGTTCCTGCCCTTTCTGAAACAATGCTCCTGCTTTTCCTCCTACCTTCCTGATTGCTTCTTCCTGGTCTCTTTGTTGTATTCTCTACTTTTGCTGGACTTCTAAATGTTGGCATACCACAAGCTTGATCCTGGGAATTTTTTCTCTGTCTACACTGTCACCATACGTAATCTCATTTAGTCCTATAATTTTTATTGCCATCTGTATGCCAATGACTCTTTGGTTATAACTCTTCCCTGATTTGCAGGTTCATATATCCACTTGCCTTCTTAACATTTCTACTTGGATGTCTAAAAGGCATCTTAAATTTAATATATCTGAAATAGAAATTGCTCCTCTCCTAGTCTTCCCTATCTTAAATGCCAGAAAAAAATCAATATATTCAGTGCCAAGTCTTGATATAAGTCCTGATACAAATATTAGTAATCCAAAAAAGAAAAAAAAAATACTTTTTAAAAGCCACCTGTCACCAATAAACTTAATAAGGATACGTAAGAAGCTATTCTTATTAAATTCAGGAGTAAGACAAGACTCATCACTGTTTCTTAAATTGTTCTGGAAGGTCAAGCGAATGCCGTAAAATATGATACTGAAATAAGAATTCTAACAATTGGAAAGTTGTAAATAATTAATATTATTTGTAGAAAAGATTTTTCTACCTAGAAATCCCAAGAGAATTAATAATGGAACATCTCTTAGGACTAGTAAGAGGATTCAGAAAGCTGACCAAATAGTTTCATAAAAATCAATAGGTTAGAAAAAATAATCAATAGGTTTCCTGTATGCTAGCAATTACCAGTTAGAAAATATAGTGGGAAAGAAGATTGACTTTAAAAAATGCAGTAAAGTATAAAATACATAAAGTATAAAGTAGCTAGGATTATCGATATGAAAAAGCCACAAAATCTTACTATGAAATATTTTAAAAGGCTGAATAAATGTAGAGATAGCCTATGTTCCTGGAGAGGGAGAATGAATACTATAAAGATAGCAATTCTCAAATTATTTTATAGTTTTAATGGAATTCTAATGAAAATTCCAATATGTTTTGTTGTTGTTGTTACTGTTTTGTGGAACCTGATAAAAAATACAAAAATTCGTTTGGAAAATAAATTGATGAGAATGACCAAGCATATTTTGAAATGGAACACTGATGACACAGGACTCTCTAACTCAATGTTCAAACGTACTATAAAGGAATAGCGATGAGGACAGGACAGTGTGATACTGAAGCTATACAGAACAGTGACCCAAAAACTGAGCTAGAAACAGACATTAGCTTTCATAAGAATATAATATTTTATTAAAACAGCATCTCAAATCAGTGAGGAAAGATGGTTTATTCAACAGATGATAGAGTTCAAAATGGTTAGCACTATAGATAAAAAATAAAGATTACTCTTCAACACTATACACTGAAATAAATTGTAACTAGATTAAACAGAGCATAATATAAAAATAAAAGCATAAATATCTAGAAGAAAATGTTATTTATTTACTTTCAAAGTGGGAGGGATTTCTAAACATAAAAAGCAAATGGAAAATAAGAAAAGGAAAGATTAAGAGATATGACTATATAAAATGTAAAAACAAATATGTCAAGAACATCATAATTATAAATTAAAAATAGAGAAACTTCCATCTATAGTAAAGGCATATTAAATAATTCAGACCAACCTTTCGACTGAAGACAACTAGAAGAGCTGAGTGAAATACTGAAAAAAAAAACAACTTTCTCATTTGAAGGCAGCATAAAGCTAACCAGATCATGAAGAATTACTAAGCCAAGATTTTGGAAAAGGTGGAAATTTGAAAGGTAAACCTGGCATTTGTGGCCATTTTTGCCCTGAGGGTATTTAATGACCTGGAAGTGGCACAGATATGCTAAGTGATGCTTTTTATAGCACTAAGAGGTTACAGTTGCAAAAACTGGATGCCAGGGCCTGCCAAGGGCGGAGCTATAGTAAACCTTTCCACAAACTGTAACTGGGCTTTGGGTCATCTGGATGGCCTAGAAAAACTCAAGTCTGAAATCAGATCAAAGTGATCCTGGATTGCTAGTGTCTCCAGGTACCTGGCAAAAGAATCCAGTTCTTTCTGAAGGAAAAATATCATCTTAGCCCTCAAATTATTTCTATAAACATTTTCTAAATAATGTCTGGCATACACCCAAAGATTAACAGGTACCCTAGATTGTGACAGTGAAGGATGCATGTTGAATCTCTAAGGCAGTAGAGTTCTCAAGGTCTGGTCCCTGATCCAGGGTCATTAACATTACCTGGTAATTTGTTAGCAATGCAAATTATCAGACCCCACTCCAGACCCTCTGAATCAGAAATTTGAGGGACTGTGGCACTGAGGTGCCCAGAAATCTGTATTTTAATAGCACATTTAGATGATTCTGATGCATACTAAAGTTTGAGAACTACTTCAAGTCTCCGAGCATAAGCAGGAGGACCTACTGTCAGAGATGTTGTCAAGAGGATTCTTGCTGGGGGTGGGGATTTGAGCCTGATGAGCTCTGAGATCCTGTTCAACCAAAAGGTTTTGTGATTTTATAAATGGAGTGGATTATAGAGCAGAATAGAAAAAAAAAAGTTTAACTCTAGCTATAAGTGGGGGAAAAGTTGTTCTGGATAAGCAGAGGCAGATAACTTGTGAGAATTCTCAACGAAGCATGGGAGATACTTGATAATGAATTACTGAAAAAAAAAAAAGATAAAAGTCATACACAAGCTTGAATAATTTTACTTTTCTACTTCTTGGAATGTTTTTAAACACTTACTACTATGGTAATACTTTCTTTCCATAAAAAATGAGAACATTATTGAAATGTGGTAAGTCGAAGACTCAGGGATTAATTTAAAAATAATTTCTAGTCATTAGATAACATTTTGGTGCCAATCTGTGTTTTAATTTTTTTTGGGGGGGGACTTTTAAGTTACACGATTACTGATTTGAAAACACAGAGGTAAGCCTAGGCCTTTACTTAGCTGTAATTAATGGCTACAAATTCTGGTTTATATGTCATTCTCCTTTGCATTTGGCCAGGCTGAGTTAATCTCGTATCACTCACAATCTAAATAATAGCCTAAGTGTTAGGCTGGCAGAGTCAGCTATTCAGATCTTTACCTCTGTTAGTTCATCTGTTCACCATTGTGTTAGTTTATTAGTTCATCAGTTCTGTTAGTTCACAGATTACCTCTGCTATTCATCCTAAGGGTGGAGGGTGGGAGGTGGATTCTAGAGGTATAGCTAGAAAAGATAGTTTAAATATTTATTCATTGGTATGGCACAGACACTAACCAAAATTGCTCTAAGGGGATTTTTTTTTTTTTTTTTAAAGTATTTTATTGTACTTCAGGTGAAGGCTTACAGAACAGATAGTTTCTCATGTAACAGTAACACACATGCTGTTTTATGACATTGGTTAACAACCCCACAACATTTTAACCCTCTAAATTCTCAACTTTTTTTTTTTCTTTTGTGAAAATACACATAGCCAAAGATACGCCATTTCAAAAATTTTTTTTACATACACATTTAAGTGACATTGACTACGCTCTTCTAATTGTGCTGTTATTCTCACTTAAGATGAAGGCTTACAGGACAAAATAGTCTCCCATTTAACAGTTACTACAAATGTTGCCCTATGACAATGGTTAACAATCTCATAACACATCAACAATATCCTTACTCTACTTTGTGTTCCCTATCATCAGCTTCCTACTCCCCTTCTGCCTTCTGGGCCTTATCACTGGACTCCTGTACCTCGTTACTCTCATGGTTTTACTGGGCTGTCCACTCCCAGGCTGAACAGTGAACCTCGAAGGTAACTTTGCCACTGAGCTAAAAGGGTATCTGGGGGCCATACTCTCGGGGTTTCTCCAGTCTCCTTTAGGCCAGTAAATCTGGTCTTTTTTTCTTTTTTTTTTGTGAGTTAGAATTATGCTCTACATCCTTCTCCAGCTCTGTCCAGAACCCTCTGTTGTGATCCTGGTCAGAGCAGTCAGCGGTGGTAGTCGGGCACCATTTAGCTGTACTGGACTCAGTCCGGTGAAGGTCTTGGTAGCTGTGGACAATTAGTCCTTTGGACTAATCTTTTCGTTGTATCCTGTTCTCTTCATTCTCACTTGCTCCCGAAGAGATGAGACCAGTGGAGTATCTTAGATGGCCGCTCACAGGCTTTTAAGACCCCAGACACAACTCACCAAGGTAGAATGTAGAGCATTATCTTTATAAGTAGTGTCATGCCAATTGAGCTAGATGTTCCTCTAAGGGGATTTTTAAGACCCCCTGCTGGGCTGGGTAAATCCATCTTTACTTGGGAAAGGGTTGTAAATGAGAAGAAGATGCCATGACAGTAGAGACACTTGGGGTCTCAAGTCTAATGCTACTTGTCAATTGGAAACGGATCATTTCAACATTTCAAAATCCGCATAGCCATACTAAATAAACTTTCCTGGACAATGTCTATCTCTTTCTGATCAGGCCTCTCTCCCCACCCCATCCCCAGATGCTTGACATCATCCAACCTTTTCTGAGTAGGTTTCCTGAATCACTGTCTCAGATTCATCCATGCTTAACTCGGAGGAGTCTGGCATCCTCCTTGATAAGGCAAACAGCACAGCATCGTGGAGGGTGAGGAACAGCTGGGCCTTGGTGATGCCAGCATCAAAGAAATCATTCCTCTCCAATCCCCTGATCACAGAAGCTACAAACCAAACCCAGAACACACAAAGAGGTCAGACACCTGGGGAGCAGAGAACCAGGGTGCAAAACACAGCCCTCTCATGGGGTGAAGGATACTCACAGTGACACCCTGCAATGAGCACCAAAATGTTGGCGTTTTGGAAAGCATTGCACATCTGCGGGGAGAGAGTAAATCAGGGTCAGGGATCTTCACAATCAACTAGAAAAGGGCTTTCTAATTAGCTGAGTTTTAAAACTCCTCTGGTCATTCACTTGTCTGGGGTGTAAGTAACTTGGCATTACAGTTCAGCTTCATAACATTTAATAAGTGGACTTCTATATGCAGGAAATGCCAGGAATACAAAAGAGGATCAGACTGTCTCGTGTGGGGGTGGGAAGGGAGAGAGAGGGCTGCTCGTAGTCTCAAGGGGGAAACTGTTCACATAAACAGGTATTGTTCATGTGAGGAAAGTACCAGGACAGAGATGGCACAGGTCCGATGGGAACACACTAGAGAGTCCTCATGAACAACCATATCTTTGTATTATTGCTTAGTGTTTGCATGTGACCCCTTCTCCCTAGAGTTTACTGAGCAGAGTAGGCAAAATGTGGCCCAGAGATGTCCAACTGATACAGTAGGGAACGAAATTCAGAAACCCTGAGGGTTATAATCAGAGCTACTCTGCAAAGTTGCATTTGACTTTAGTAAATATCAGATAACAAAACCAAACCTTTTGCCGTTGAGTCAATTCCGACTCATGGTGACCCCATGTGTGTCACAGCAGAACTGTGCTCCGTAAGGTTTTCAATGGCTATGATCTTTCTGAAGTATACTGCCAGGCCTTTCTTCCAAGGCATCCTACTTACTACTGAGCCAGTGGGAGAAATGAAGTCTTGATACATGCTACAGTATGGATGGAATTATGCTGAGCCAAATAAGCCAATCACAAATGGACAAATATTGTATGACCTCATTTATATAAAAAGACAAGAAAAGCAAATGTATAGAGATCAAAGTTTATCAGTGGTTACTAGGGGCAGGAGGGAGGGGGAAGCAGGGGTTAATGGTGATGGAAAAATTGCATTTATTAAGGGTAGGTTTGCATAGCTGATTATTGTGATTGCGGTCAGTAAGTTGTACACCCGTAAAAAATTGAACTGGCAAAAGTTGTGTGATAGATCTATTTAAAACAATGACAAAACAAAACAAAACAACAAAAAAAGAGTAGCTGCCGAGGCTGCTTATGTACAGCTGAACACCTCATGGGATTTTTTTCCTTGGTTTGGAGATTTAGGGTCATGGTTTCATGTGACATCCTAGTTAAATGGCTTAATAATGCGTTAAGTGCTTCTGTTCTAAACCTCCTACTTCATTGCATAGTGCCTGGGGTCTTACAAGCTTACAAGTGGCCATCCAAGGCACAACAATTGGTCTCTATTCACCCGAAGCAACAGAGGGAGGAGGATATGGAATGTGTGGCTAATTGCCTCCATGAACAACTGCCTGCTTTGCCATGACACCAGAAGAACTGGATGGTGCCCAGCTACCATTACTGAACATTTTGATCAAAGATTCTATAGAAGAATCCTGATCAAAAAGGGGGAAATGTAGAAAGGAATTTCAAATTCTCATGGACTCCACACTTCCTGAAGTTATGGAGGGTAGATAAACCCCTGAAACTACTGCCCTGAGATTAATTTTTAAACTTTAAACCAAAAATATCCCCTGAAGTCTTCTTAAAACCAAATAATAGTTTAGCTTAACTAGTAAAAAAAGGTCTGCCTTGAGCATTATGCTCTTTTAAGAACTATCTATATGGGATCAAATTGACAACAGCAACTTGAAAGATTAGATAGGAACCTTCGGGGGCAGTGAGTTTATGCTAATGAGGGAGGAACAACTCAGAAAAGAAGGGTGAGAATGGTTACACAACTCAAAGAATGTAATCGATGTCACTAAATTGTACAAGTAGAAACTTGAATAAGTGTATGTTTTGCTGTGCATATTCTCAGCACCAACAAAATAAATTTTAAAAATG